ATAAACTGCATAAAGATGTCTCTTCCTCGATCTGGGACAACACATAACTATTCTCCCTTTGCTTTCAGGTGCCTCAGCTGATTGTCCCTGCCCAATACGATCATTTTGTAGTCCCCAAACATGTTTATGGACTGTATTTAATATGACAGAAGTTTTCTGTTACATGCACATTCTGTCTAGGTTACGATCCCTGATATGACAGTAGCTGTCCATGGGGGGACACGGTTTAACAGAGTTGACAGATCTAGGAGCCAATTTCTTTAGCAATACAGTCCTATTACAATAAGTTATTTTCCTCTTTACCCTCATCTTTTACTGCAGTCTTGAATAAAAGAATCCAAAAGTTGGCATGTGGCCATCACATTTAAAAGAGCAGCCTAGGCTATCATTATGATTAAGGCAGTGTAATTCCATGCTATTGCTGAAGCAGCCACCAAAGGGAAGGCAGAGTCAAATTTCCCTACACCAGAACGGAAATTGCTTTCCTTTGCTCTCCCTAAACAACTAATTTCATATGACTACTTAATGTACAGGGAAGAATGCTGAAAGCACAAGAACTGGAATGAAAGTTTTCTTACCTGCTCTGCAGGACTCAGGCTGACACACACAGAAGCCAGGCTTGTGTATTACAGCTGTGATGGTGTGCAAGACAATAGACCATAAATGAAACAGACAATTTTTAAATCAACGGTAAAATAAGTGAAGATGGCACATGCACACAGCTGCCCAGGTAAGCCACGGATTCCAACAATAACTATAATCTCTATGGATGGCCCTTCACACTTATATAGAATTTCAATAATGCTTTTCTAAAAGAGCAAACACGAAACTCCTACCAGCCCAGCTACAAACCAGTCCCCAGCTTAGGCGTTCTGGCACCAGCTCCACTCCTGTAACTATTTATGCAAATGAGTAGCTCATTACCTTCAACTGGTTTACTGATGTGACTACAGTTAATGACACAAGCACAGCTTGCCAGGATGGGGTTTACTGTTAGAAAAAACTGCCAAACTTTGAAGTCGAGCATTAAAAAACCCACTTTAGCCCCTCCTGTGTGGTAACAGCCTATTGGGTTTGGTACTTTAAGTTACTATGCTCTTGAAGCTGTTAGCACAGGTTTTTCTTAACTAAAATAAAGTTTTTAAAATATTACGAGCTCGCACTCCATCCTAAGGCTAAAGGTTTTCCATCTAACATCTTAATGTCAATTAGATATGACTAAAACCAAGTACTATTACATGTAATGAAATTAAGGCTCCACTTGAACATGCAATGGGATAAAACTGATTTCCTTTGTAGCACGTGGTCGGTGTAAGAACTGTTTCCGTGAAAGTGCACAGAAATCACGTTAAGACTTTGATCCAGAGGATCTACACGGCAAAGCAGGATCTGAAGTCCATTTATCATCAACTCTGGAACTTTTATGTCTGCAACTGTGTAATTGTTATCTCCACCTCATTTACTAAGCCTTTTAATTTTCTTTTTCCTTTTCCTTCATGCCAGGAAGGAACAAACTCCTATGCAAACTTTCTCTAGACTCACACCAAGAATAAGCCTTTAAAACATTATAAAACCTCAGTTGTCCAGGAAGTGCAGCAACACCCAAGCACTAAACTCAATTTTATTCTCAAGTTAATAGACAGTCTTACAATTTTGTTTATATTCATTTAAATGCTTGTCTATTTGATTCCCTCTTTTGAGTTCAAAGTCCAAGCACATAAGGCCCAATGTAATTTCTCTGCAACATGGAAATACTTTCCCAAATTCTTTCTAAATCTACTTAAATTTCAACATAAACTCTACTTTTGCTTGTCCCAACAACATTCTCTCTCCCTCTGCCTGTGTATGTATCTACAAGCACCCCATGGATATATATATTTTACAGAACTACTTATAATATTGGAATTCAAATTTATTGAAATCCAAGCAAATAATTTCTAAGTCAGCTAAGATAAAGAAATTATAAATTTTTCTCGGTGGAAATATATACTATTCTTGAATGCAACTGTTCAAAGACCATCTTTCTCATGAGTTAAGCCAAAAGGTCATCAGCCTTTCCAAATAATAAAAGTTTTGAATATTCAAAACTTCATACTGGAAAGCCAGAAAACACACAGCACTCTTATAGTTCTTCAACTGAAACACACCCATTAAAAAAGAAATTCCAAGAGGCAGTACACTAGACACAGCAAAACATCGATAGTCAAGGAAACTGGAAATGTCACAATATGCTTATGCTTTTCACTACAACACTTCTTCCTTATAAAGAGCCTTCAACTCCATCCCCACAACTTTAGATTACACTGTCTCTTCATGTACTCTAAATGAAAGGCGAAGCGCTTTGGTTGTTAGTCAACAACAAAAGTGTTAATATGAGAAGTTGTTTGGTTTGGTTTGTTGGTTCCTTTTTTTTTTTTACCCTTATGGCAGAGTCAAGGCATAGTTCCAGCACAAATGTGAGCCATCTACTAATTTTCAAGGCACCATCCTAAATATGTAGGTGTTTTAAGGAGACAAAGTGTTTCACGTAAACACAACTGCATAGGCACACATAAACAACTTATTATTGACACAATCTCATTACAGGAAACAGGTAAACCTCACTGGTTTCAGTGAGGTTCAACCCTCAGTCCACAGCATGGGAGATTTCTGCCTTAACAAATGACCTATTTCCAAATATTTTGAGCAATAAAACCTGAAATGTTATGACAAACCTTACTTACCAGACAGTAGCACTACCAGCTCCAACCCTGGTAACAGGTCTTAGAGAAGAAGTAACTTCTGATACAGTTTTTACCACCTGATTTTTCACTCACACATCATCTTACCAAATCTTGTTTTTCACAGTAGGAACACAATGGCAGCAGTGTTGTGTCACTTGGCAATGCCCATTCTCTTTCTTGAACTGCTTCATAAGGTTTATCTGCTTGGGCACAGTTGTTGGCTATTCAAACCCTTCCTTGCACAGCTGCTAAACACCAAGATGTTACATGCAAAGAGCACATAATATGCACCTTCTTTCCTAGATTTTCTAAGAATGTTCAAACCCAGTGCAACATATGGTTTACACAAAAATCCTTTTTACTCAAATCTGCATTTAGATACAAGATGATCAAGTGATTTTCCATGGTCCTGGCTCTCAGAATATTAGAAGTAGGATTCTGATTACCTAGCCAACACACAGCAAGCTATAAAGTTAAAGCAATTGACTGGAAAATAATGCAAGTGAAATCAGTAAGGGATTTGTAGATGTGACAAAAAGTGAAACTAATTTCACAGCAGGTGAAAGGACACTAATTAATATGGCAGCATTTCTGTTTTTCTCATCACAGACAAAATAATTGCTTTGCTATCTGCTGAAAAAAACCCTTAAAAGCTATTTTTGAATGAAGATTTAGCCATTTTTGTTCAATCTTGAGAGTATAAAGGCTGAGAAAATAGCAGATTTCTCCTGAGGTTTTTTTTCAAATCTACTTAGTTAATGCAAGTGAAGAAAAATAATAATGGTTGCTTCCTCCTAAAAAGGTTGCACATATCTTTTGATTTGGGCCAAGCTGAAGTCAAATTAACTGTGTTTATATTTCAACTGTTTCACTGTCATCTCTTTCTTCTTCCTCTCCTGAACACATCCTCTTCCATCACAACAACTGAACCAAGACAGGGCTTTCCAATCTCCAGGCATTAAAAATTGCCATTACTTTCTATAATAGGCATTTCAATTTCAGATGATTTGGGCCATTTTTAAAGCAACTGTTGCAATAATTCTTGAATTAAGAAGAAAAAAAAAATCTTATTCTTGTCTTTCCCAAATTCTTACCTACAAAATGAATTAGACTTCCTTCTTTCTTGACTGATACAGCTGCTACCATGAATTTAAAAAATACATTAGTCTTTTCAAGGGTCTTTTGCCGGAAAACAGAAGTGATTTCCCTGTCACTCCCTTTAATTTTGATGCTACTTTAGTTGGTGCAGTTTGAAAATGAAAGAAAAAATATTTAAGCACAAACAGTACTTTTCTTTAAAACTGAAAACTTGCTTCATAATCGCCATTTAACAAATATAAGAAATCATAATCGTCACTAGAAGAACCATTTCTGCATAAGTCCAATATGAACTTCACTGCCTGCCGTCAAGACATACAAACGCTTTCCCCAAATCCTTACTAGAGATAATTGACGATCATTGAGATTATTTGACGGCACTAATTACATTAAATGACTTCGTTAACATCTTCCACTTCGCACTATGCAACGCGAACCCTCTCTCTCTCTCCCCCCCCCCCCCCCCCCCGCCCTTGCGATAAACATCTGTCCGTGCCTCCTCTCCGAATGAAAACATCCAGCAAACCGCCGATACCATGAAGCGGATTTCTGGTAAGCGATTATATAACTTGTTTCTTTCGGAGCGCTGCTGCAGCATGTGTTACTGTCAATTGACGGAAACCGAAAGCTCGCCGCTGGGAGGTGGGGGACGAACGCAATACTTTTTCTTCGCTCACCGGTGCGAAAGGATGGGGGCCACCCGTCCAAGCTGGTGCCCGTCGGCGTCTGTGCCCAGCCAGGACGGCGCGGCAGGGGCTGGGCAGAGGCACACGCCGAGCTCCGGGGCCGCCGGGCTGTGCCGCTGCTGCTGCCCGGCCGGGAGAAGGGCTCGCTGGCCCCGCGCACCCACCCACCAACTTTTGCGGCTCTGCCCCGCTCCCCCCGCCTCCCGCAGGGGCTCAGCCCGATCCCGCCCACACTCACCGGCGGGACCCCGGTACCGTGTGTGTCTCTGGCGAGCCCCGCTGCTGCGCTCGGAGCAGGTGCTCCGCTCCTCCCGGCCGCCTGCGGGGCTCTGACGGCGGCAAGTCGAGCAGTGGCTCCCCTCCGGACGGGCACGGGGCGGGAGGCGCCGCTCGGCTCGGTCCGGTCCCTCCCTGCCCACAGCAAGGCGCGGGGGCAGCGACCCCCGCCCCCGGAGCGCTGCTGCTGCTCGAGCGCCGCTCGAGCGCCGCTCACCTCCCCGGCTGCTGCTGCCGCCCCTGAGGAGTCTCGTCCCCCTTCTTCTCCTCCTCCTCCTCCTCCTCCTCCATAGTGCCGCTCCACCCCTTGCACGGCGGCGGCTCCGCGGCTCTCCAGCAGGAGCTGCTGAACGGCTGCGGCGTCCCACCTGACCAGCCCGCCGCCGACGGCAGCGCGGCGAGCTGCAGGAACCAGCTCCACAGCGTCCTGCGCCTCACCATGGCCGGCAGGGCTGCACAGCGCCCAGCCCCTACTGTGGCGGGCAGAGGCTCCACACAGCCCGGCCCCTCGCCGTGGAGAGGCGCCGTTCCCGGGCCCGGCCCGGCAGCGCCTTCACAAGATGGCGGTGGGGGGGCTCGCGCTGAGGTGTCCCAGAGCCACGGCGGGACAGTGTGAGGGCTGCCGGCTCGTCCCGCCGCTGCAGGCCGGGCTGCTGGTCGGCACCGGAAAAGGGAAGCGTTCCGCTGTGCTCCTGGCCGGCTCCGGTGGTTGGTAAACGCTGCCCGCAGTCCCGTTTATGTTGCGGTGAAAAGTTTCCTGGTCTCGGTTTCCTCAACAGCCCTGGGCAGTGCCCTTAGCCCCGAGGGTACCGACACCCACGGGAGGTGCCGTGTACGGGCGAGGCCGCCTCCCACCTCGCAGGGCCCTGTATCCCCACGGTCATTTCCCCACCTTAGGAAAGTAAAATTCATGGCCAAGTCACTTTACGTGCTGGATCACAACCATCCCCTTCACCCCCTCTCTGTGCCTGTGAGGAGTTCGCAGGCAGCTCCAGATGATGGGCCAAGCAGTGAGGCATTTGAGGCACCCAAATAAACCCAGAAATAAATATGTATTTTTTAAATCTTTCTTTACCTCCTTAAGCGCATTGGAAAGCAAAAGAACAAAGTTATGCAGGTGTAATATGAAACCACCACCTCTCCCCCCCCATATATAGCAGTAATATGAAATCTAAGACTATCTGGAGCTCTGATAACACACTTAGGTACATTTTATCTTAAAGCTCATAAAGGAATGAAGGTTCATTGGTGAAGAAATCTTACTTATGTTTAGAGGCCAAAGTTCTCAGGGTAGGTCTTGGGAGATTAGAAATGTGACCCTTACTGTTTTGATTAGTCTATCATTCTCTTAGTTTCCTTAAGGTAAAAGAAAAATGATATTAACAAGTTACCTTGTTTTGTACAAGTTATCTGTTATCTCTGTTGTGTACATGTATGTATTCTTTGCTTATGGTCAGGCAGATTTGCTGATCTTTGCCAGTGGAAATTGCTGATTTATTTCTTACTTTCGGTCCTTCTCGTCTGACATTTCCTGATCATTTCATCTCCTATCACTATGTCTACTGTTAAGCTGGCCTTGTAGTAGCAATGACTTTCACTCAAAATTATTAAACACAAATCTATATTGATTAAAGTTATTTCTACTGTTATTGTATTGAATCTAAGATTTACTAAATGAGTTAGATGATAAAGCTGTTCTGATCAATGACCATTCACAGTAATAATTAGTGCCTATGTATAGAAATCTGTGTAAGCCGCTTGGTAAGTGCTTCCAGGCTGGTAGTAACTGATTGTCAACAGTAGCAGATTTGGGATGCTCATCCTACACTTCGCCTGGGTATCTCCTGGTAGGCAGCCCTGCCTCCATGTGTGGAGTGCTGCAAAAACCAAAGTTCAGGAGGCTCTGCTTCAGTAAATGTGTTTTGTCTGTACTACAAATAGAGATGTCAACACTTGGAGGCTGTAAGTAAAGACACCTGGTGTCTGTGCTGCATGCAATTTTCAGTTTGAAAAGGAAACATCTCTCTTCTAGTATAACAACTGGTGAAGAATTATATGGTTGTTCAAGTAATTTGTGACACTGCTAGAAGTGTATATCAGCTCCTTTTACCAACTCTGACATGCCAGCTTGCACAACATGAGAAAATTCAACTTCATAGGTGCTGTTCAACAGAACAAGGATTTTAAACTATTTTCAGTATTCCCAGGAGCCAAATACGATCTCAGTCTAGTCCTGCTGCTTTGGCAAGTTTTGATCTTTCAATCTCTTATGTGCACAAACACATCTAAACTGAGGAAGAGTCCCAATCTGTGCTCAAGTAGTTGTGTAAACCCAGAACAGATCTCTCTGACTCTTAATATACCCCAGACGTGCTAATATGCTTAGAGGACTGATGTTAGGATCCTGCAGGAGTTGGAGGCCAGAAGTTACTAACAGATGGGAAGGATACAGCCATCTGTGCATGAGGTAAGACTTTTTGCTTGGCACTAGTCTTAAGAAAGAGAGTTTTAATAATTTTATTTCCATCAGTGGCATGCACTCCTGGCATTTTTACTGCTGAGACTGGCCCTATATATTGTCCAATATATATGGAAATAAAAAAGTTATGGGAGCTTCTTTGTACTGCAGAGGCACAGATACTGAGGTGTAGCAAAGTGGGGTTATTTTGGGATCAGTGCATTTTATTTTTCTCACAGTGAAATTTAGCACCTGAAACAGAAAATTTTTTATTGAAGAAGGTTTTGGGATATACCATTTCATTAACTACTTTGAAGGGTAAGTTTCTTAATATAGGTTAATCTGTTTAATGCAGCAACCTGTATCTTAATTAGAATCTCACAGTTAATGTTTCATGAATTGTATCTGCAGTGGTGTCTTTCCCTTGGAGATAGTGTTTGCATTAATCATGGGCAGGACAGCTCAACTAAGTTGATTATAAAATTTCTCTCGATGAAAGGTTTAACCTTCTATGCAACTGAAGTTTATCAGTATTTTGTTTAGATCTCCAAGTGTAGAGTTAATGTCTTTTTCACAAAGTTTAATTTAGTTGTTTGACATAAGCTCTGTCAGAGCAAGATACTCATTGTCTTGGGCAATAACTGAAGCACAGTCTAAAGTAAGAACAAGTAGAAATTCTTATAGTTAAAATTTTTGTAGCTTTATAACTGAGCTGTCTTGATTGAAAATCCTCTCAGATACCAAAATAAAAATGTTGTACCATCTCTCGCTCCATCCTAGAACATCAAGTAATAATCCAAAATCCCTTTAGGCCAAGGCTTGCTATATACTAGTTTACTGTTACAGTGCAGATGCAGTTTATTGCAGCAAAAAAACACACTTGGTTTGGACAGTTTGTGCTGGATATCTGAGTGAAATAAGCTATCCTAGCAAAAAAAAGCCTTTTATCACTCTAATATTGGCTATACTGGAATTTTTACTAGCCTTGAAATTTTGCACCAAACGAAATTCTACTAGGCTAGTAAAATACTCTCTGGCAAAACTGGCCAATACTGGGACATAATCAAAAAACCTAACCTAGCCCTTCTAATTACAGTTTGGAGGAGTAACCACCCTTACGGTATCCACCCTGTTTTGGAGAGAAGTGAAGGGAGAAAAGTTACTTGGCACCTATTGCAGACAGAGGCAAGCAGAGTTTCAAATCATGTTGGATGTTAAGTTAGCCAGTGAAAGAGGGTTACACAACCAGCTAATATATGTGTTTTATATATATATATATATATGTATGTGTATATATATATATATATATATACATATAGGTATAAAATGCTTCCCAGGAATGTTAAATCAAAACATTAAATAGACCTAGGTACAAAATTTATGTATAATCAATATACAATACTTAATTAAATGACTGTAAATGTTATGTTTACCATTACAAATCCAAACCTCTTATATGATAAAGAATTCGACAGTTTTGGGGACTATGGAGAAGGAACTTAGGAGCTACAGTTAATACTAAGAAGCACATTTTGTTTTGTTTTATGTGAAATATTCTCTGATGCCTAGCTGATGTATTGTTAACTTCTGCTTAGGGAACAAAACTGGGGAAGACAATCAACTGGGACCATAACAGAGACATTTATTTTGTGTAATACCAGTAAGGGGGCCAGGAGCATTCTCCAGCCCTGACGCCAGAGTCTCCAATGCATGTATTTTTGTACAGATAAACCTTTCTGAAAAGCAGGTGGCTGCAGCAGAATTGCTGTTGAAACTCTTACAAGGCCCACGCTAATCCCTGAAGCATGCCTGGGCACTCTGGGAGAATGCTTGTTGGCATGAGCCAAAACTCAGGTAGCAGCCTTGCTGGTGATTTAATGCTTATTGAAGTGCAGTAACATCCAGACAAGTGTTGTAGTTTACTGGAACACATCTAGCCTTAGACAACACCTGATTTTGAGATTATCCTTGTGTCTCAGAAGAAATTAAAGTTGTTAGGTCTCTTTCAAAACTGATGAAGCTTGGCGGTGTCATTGTGAACAAGCATGATATGATACTGTTACAGTCAGTACCTGATAATGAATTGTTACTCCATAACATTTTGCAAAATTGCTGTCATTAAAATTTATTTAGGAAGTCCAATTACTGTGTCTAAAAGGTTGGATTTGATCCAGATTCCTTTGCGAGTCGGACTATTCAGTAAGAAAACTCCTTGCCCTTTTATAATTGCATTTGTAATTGGGCACAAGGTAGAGTAACATGTTTAGTGAACAAGAAAAAAACATTCTGGATTTACAAAGCAGACAAAAAATAAGAATATGTAGGGTAGCTCCTAGCACAGTTTGTTGTGGATATCTTGACTTTTAATTGTGAATTAGAAATTGTAGAACATTGTGCTGTTTTCATTGCAGGCAAGATGGGGACAAACTGTTTCTTTGTGTATAAATGCATTATGGAAAAGCGTCCCCCTATCATTTTAGACTGATACTAAAATGGATTGAGTTTGAACTATTCTTTATTTAAGGGAGTGTTTCTTATCCTTAGTGTTATGCCTTGAATGTGAATGTTGGCAGTTGAGAAGGTCTTAACTTTTACTTAATGTTTACTCATATGCTTTGAGTGGAGACACAAATCCATACAGGAACATAAATTCGTATATAAACAGACCTCTTGAGAAAGAACGAAACTGAACAAGCTTGCTATCTTCATGTCTGTTTACTGCTCTGTAGTTTCACTCTCTCAGTGCAATAATCCAAGCCCTCTTCTTGCTATGCCTTCCATGGCATCTGTTTGGGCAAGAGACAGCGTGTGCTGTGGTTACCCCAGTTAGTCATATGTGCAGGCAGACTGGCCAGCCAGTGCTCGTGCCCACTGCCAACTGGCTCGTGCTCAGATAGCACATGCTGTTGTGTTCTGCCTACTTTTCCCGTACTCATGTAACTAATTCAAGTCTCTGTCCTGTATCCAGATGCTGGTGTTAAAGAAAGCTATAGGGACTTAATTACTTTGGGCTGTCTTAGGCTTACTTCAGTGGTGTATTATTACCCCTGCTATTCCTAT